ACTCATACCTCCACCTGCCATTTCCTGGGCACTTCGTGTGAGATTTCAATTCAGAAGGAGACACTGTCCCATTTTACAATGAGAAAGCATGTGGCCCAGAGAAGGTAAGTGACTCACCCTGGGTCACACAGCTTACGGGTAGGAGAACAGGACTCACCATCAGCTCTACCCTCACGTACCTGGCAGTTGAGACTGATGACACTCCCAAGTCAGGGAGGTACGTTAACCGTCTCCTGGCCCAAGATGTGTCTGTCTCTCTAGGCTAGAAGGTCATCCCAGCCAACGCTGCCAGAGTCCCCTCTCCTAAGTGCCCCCAAGTGTCTCTTTTACCCTTGGCCGCAGGGAGCTCACTCCCAGCCCCCAGGCCAACTCCAAATGGAAAGCCCATCTTGGAAGCTTATCTCCCTCCACCTCCACCCAGCATTTCAGCCCCTAAATTGGTTCAGAAAATGCCTTCTTGACGACGGGCACCCACCCACTGCATGCCAGTTTAAAACCGCCTGAGGGTTTTTTTTTTCCACCTTTACTATAAAAAGACACCTTGAAAATGCAACATTGACATTTCCCTGTCCGTTTTCTTTTTTTTTTAAAATACAAATATTATGGCCATTCATAGGCCAAAGGGAAAGATTCAGGGAAGGGAGTCGGACTCAGTCTGCCCTCGCCTTGCTGGGTGGCCCCGTGCCTCAGTTTCCCCACCGAGAGCACAGGCAACTTCCCAACTCACTTTCACCACACACGTGAATTGAGAAAAGGGATCCAAGCTACATGCCAGAGGCTAATTTTCTCACTTCCTCTCTCAGAATAGTCCAAAGGCCCCAAATATGCCCAAAGCAATCAGAGACAAAATTGGGGCCCAAGGCTGGGAGGACAAGGTTCCCTGCCTCTTCACTGCCTTAAAGGTGGTGAGCAGGGGGCAAAGCCTCCCAGGTGGGGAGATGGAATGTCCGAGACCACCCCAACCGTGGCTCTGGAGCTTCAGGCCTGAGGGCCCAAGGGCAACAGCACGAGGCTGGGTATCCAGAGGCTCGGCTGAGCCACCCTGCTTGGAGGGCAGACATCCCTGGAGAAAAGATGGAAGGGCAGGGTCCTGTCCCCCGTTGTCCAGCCCCACTGAGACTACCTGGTGCCGGAGCAGTCAGGCCAGACAGGGCTGGGAGGAAGAGGGACTCCAGGCCCCTGGTACTCACCCCCGCCCCCCCGACCAAACCCACCGTCTCCCCCAGAGGCACCCCTGTCGCATCCCCGACTTCCATCCCAATGCCGGGCTGGACTGGGCAAATCCCTTCTCCATCCTGTCCGTCCCCACCTCTGGGGCTACATCCAGGCATCTGAACCTGTCCTGAACCCGCCCCCCTTCTTCTCTCTGTGCCCTCAGACCAGGCCTGTCACATCCCCCTAAATTAACACCTGGCCGGCCACCCCTACCTCTGTGCCCAATGCCCGCCACACTGTAGGTGCTCAAGAAATATTTGTAAATGAAGAAGTGAGTCACTTGCCTGGAAGATGGCACCAGCCTCCTTCCTACCCTCCCTGCTTCTCCGCCCTCCTCCTCACCAACCACCTAACGACTTTCTAAACTAGCTCCCTTAAAAACCATCACAGAAACTGCAAACACGTGTGCCGAGCACGCTGCTAACTGACTGCTCCACCTGTAGCATCTCATTTAATCCCCACAGAGGTCCTGCGAGGTCGGTGTTTTTATTATCGTTCCTTCTCTACAGGGAAAGAAACTGACGTGCAGATCAGATGCTCTGGCTAAAACCCTTCATGGTTCCCCATGTCCCCAGGACACAGTCACGCCTATCCCGCACCCGCATGGCAGGCCTGCCCACCTTTCCCAGCCCTGCTCATAATTCCTGTTTCCCCTCCCCAGCCACAATGACCACCTCTCGCTGCTCCAGTCCGTCTTGCTGTTTCCTACCTCCAGGCCTGACAGGCTGTTCCCTCTGCCTGGACCCCTCCTCTTCTGCCAGCTTGGTGTGACTAACTCCTGCTCACCCACCCACCTGCGCTTTGACACCACTCTCCCCAGAGGCCTCGATGCCCCTCTCCGGGCTCCGTCTGCCAGGATGGGATCACAGCACCCAACCCTCTGGGCTGGAAGGACCGGCCACATGGTCCACGAGAGCAGACAGTAAGGGAATCACCATTGGTCCCCAGCACACAGCAACACAGTAGGGACTTAGGAAATGTTTACTGAGGCTGCCATCGGCCGCTAGAGGTGGGGTCTTCACTGTTGCAGAACAAGCCAAAATAGGTCACTGGTTGCTGTCCAGGACCAAGCCCAGACCTGTGCTAATAATGCCCCCCCCAGGGTAATAATAACAAGAACAGCAGACATCTACTAGGTGCTTGCTACGTGCCGGGTACAAAGTGCTTTACGTTATTAGATCATTTGGTCCTCAGCAATCCTTAGAGATTTACTGTCCCCACTTTACAGATGAGGAAACAGAGGCTCAGAAAGGTTAAGTCACTTGTCAAGGTCACACAGCTGGGAAGTGACAGAGTAGAATTTAACCCCGGATGCGAGGTCCAAGTTCTTAGACTGTAACTGGGGAGCTGGCAACAGCCAGGAGCAAGAATAAGCATCACTCTCCCACCCCCACCTGAGGCTTCAGGCCCAGATCCTGGGGCCTGTGCCCACAGCTGGGCGTGGGGAAGGGGAGAGGGGTGTGGAGGACACAGGGAGAGGGGCCAAGGAGGGCCAGGAATCTACCCCACCTTGGGGCGGGGAGAAGGCCCTTGTGCACTCTGCCCCTGGGGCTGTGTCCCTGGAGAGGCCCTGCCCCAGAAGAAAAGGGAAGCCCCAGCTCCCTTCGGCAGTGAGTCACTGCACCAGGCCAGGCTGGGGATGGGGACCGTGGGAACCAGGACGGTTCCTGCCAGAGGGGGAGGGGGAGAGGGAGACTGTGGCGGCCTGAGGAATCCCACGGATTGCCTCACACTGAGGGCCTAGACGGACACACAGGCCTGGAAAGGCCCGAAGAAGGCCCTTCTGACAGGGTCTTCCCTCCGCAGAGCAGCAACTGACTCCCCATTCACCTCCTCAGGCTCTGCGACCCCCGGACACAAAGCTTGTGCCCTCAAACACAGCCCACTGGGGCATGTAGCTCTGGGGAGGGGAGGAGTGCATGTCCCAACCGCAGCGCTGGGTGGCCACCCTGACCAAGCTGGCCCCTGCTGGTAGCAGACCGGCTCCCGGGCCAGTCTGCCCTGCTCACCCACCGTGTCCTTTACTTTCAGGGCAGCCAGCCAGCCTGGTGGTAGGCAGTGTGAGGGCCCAGGTGCAGGAGAAGGAATCTGCGTTTTCTCAAAGCCCCAGTGTTGGGCACACCCACAGGGCAATAATTAATCTCACGAGCTTCTTGCCAGGGCCTGAGGATCACAGAGAAGGGATGGGGCAGAGCCACAGGGAGCCTGGCCCCAAGGAGAGCCCTGTAATCACCAGGAGAAGGCTAAGTTCTGCATTTTGAGAAGTTGAGGCTTCCTAAGGGAGTGGCCAAGTCTCCCCTGACTCAGCTTGCGATGGAGAGTGCATTAAAGGCACAGGGGTCCACCTCCCAGGGCACTCTAAAGAAGTGACCCCTTGCTGATGCGCTTCCTTGAGTGGAACCACACACAGATCCCTCCTGCATCCCTGTGTCACGTTCCCCCAGGATCAACACACACATCGATCCCCCACAACCTGGCCCCCTCGCTCCTGCCCTGCCCAGCCCCAGACACCTGGGCCCCATTCCCCCACCCCAGCTGCTGTGGCCCTATACCTGGCCCTCCGCGCTCCCTCCAGATCCCCACATCCCACTCAAGCGCTACATGCAGTCCTGCTCACGTCCCTCCACTCTCCTGGAGCCGGCACCTCCCCACCCCAGTCGCCGGGACTCCTCCAACACACACACTCTGAGTTCCACATTTTGTAAGGCGGCAAAGGCTCTGCAGCACTACGAGCACAGATGCTGAGACCGGACAGCCTGGATTCAAATCCTGCCTCTGCTAGTTCTGTGTGACCTTGAGCAAGTTACTGAATCTCTCTGTGCCTCAGTTTCTTCATCTGTAAAATGGGGATGAGAACAGAGCCTAGCTGAGGACTGCTGTTAAAACCTCGAGTTATGCCATGTGATGCGCTTAGTAGGCATTCCACAAGTGTTACTGCCTTCCTCATAGCCCCCAGGCCTGGTGCCTGCTACATGCTCAGTAAATGTGTGTTGGATGAATGAATAAAAAGTTGGCCTCAGGAACACACCCAGTTGCCAACCAGCGGCCTCCCCAGAGTGCCTACTGGTTCCCAAACACCTGTGTCCCCTGCCGCACACATCCCACTGTGCACCCAGGCCTGCCCTGTTGCACCAGTGTGTCCCTGCCACACGCGCCTGCCTGCCCGCACGCCTGTGTGACCCAGCTCAGTGACACACAAGTCTGGTGCATACACCTTGCTTCCCCTCACCCTCCATGTGCAGGGTCCTGATGCACGCCTGCATGCCTCCCTGCACAACTGCCACACTCATGCACACACCTGCCAACTCCCAAAGGCAGCCATCACAGGCTCATGCAGTCGGCCCAGAACATACCTTTGGTCAGATGCTGCACTCACTCGTTGCGCACTCAGCCCACTGCTGCGACCCCCACTTGCACAGCCGGGATGTATATGCACCTTTGTCTCTCTTCAGCGCACACCTGGGTACCCATCCACAACCCGACGGCCCTGCACACCTACATATGCGCACCTGTAGTCCAGCACTCATTTGAGTGCCCAACGCGCACACCTAGGCCATATTCACGCCAGTGTCCCCCACCTCTGCTGACTATCCTCGCGACTACACCTGGGTCCCCGCAAATGCACCTGTGGCTCAGAGTATACACTTGAGTCTCCATACACACACATCTAGGTAACGGCACACTCACACGTGTGACCCGCTCAGCGCACAACCTGCCCAGTTACCCGCACGCTCTCTCGCCAGCCCCCTGGGCTGGTCCCCAGCGCCCCCGCTGCCTGGGCATACCTGGATGTTGCGTTTGCGCTCGCAGGCCGGCCCGGTGCCCTGCACCACGCTGTCGAGCACGGCCACCACGTCGGGTGCGGGCTCCACGAAGCAGGCGGTGCGCGCGGCGCGGATCGCGGCTTGCACGTCGGCGAAGCGAAAGGCACAGAGCGCGGCCTGAGCCGTGCGGGCCGCCGGGGCCCCCTGTGGCCGCTCGAAGACCGCAAAGAGCAGCTCGCGCGCGGGGAAGACGGATACTAGGCGGCTGTAGAGGTCGCCGCGGCCCGCGCCGCCCGCGCACTGCAAGCCCAGCTGGATGTAGGACTCAGTGAGCTTCTTGGCGTCGCCGCCGGCGCCGCGGGGCAGGCAGATGCGCGCCAGCAGGCTCCGCGCCTGGCTCTCCTTGTCGCCCGCGCGTGCCTCGCTGTTAAGCGCCAGGTACGCATAGGTCTGGGCGCCGGACTGCGGGTCGGGAGGGTGCAGGAAGGCGCGAACGAAGCCCAGCTTGTGCTGCTCCTTGGCGCCCTGCTTGATCTTGAGAATGTTATCGTCGGAGGGGTTGAGGTCGAAGGTGAAGAGCTTGGCCAGGTCGCCGCGCGCATCCAGGGAGCGGATGGCGATCTCGGGCGTGTTCTCGAAGCGGTGGTCCTCCAGGCTGCGGTTGCGCGGGAAGAAGGCGCTGCCGTAGCCCGTGTACGTGGCGCCCACCAGCAGGCGGCTGCCCCCGGTGCCGGCGGCCGGCGGCAGGACCAGTCCCACGGTGGACGCGTTCGGGTGGTTGGCCGCCACGTTCAGCATGCTGGGGAACACCGTGACGGGCTCGGCGGGCGGCGCGGCGGGCGGGAAGTGCACGGCCACCGCCGAGATGTTGCCCCGCCGCCGCAGCTGGCAGAAGCCCTGGTAGATGGAACCGCACACGACCACCAGGCCCTGGCCGGGGTCCAGTTGCAGGATCTTGTTGTAGTTGTCGGTGAGGCGCCGCGGGTGCTCGCACGAGGCCTGAGGCAGCTGCGGGGCGTGACACAGCGGGCTGTCGGCCACCGGGCCCACGGCCGCCTCGGCCTCCAGGCTCAGGTTAGCGCCCGACAGCTGGTAGAGGCGGTTGACGGCCGCCAGGTACACCGTCCCCGCCGCGCCGTCCAGGGCAAAGTTGTTGGTGGGCGTGGGCGAGGG